GTGTGCAATTCATTTTAATCGAACTACGGTAACAGACAAAAAGTTTGTTTTCTGGATAAAGAAATTGAAAAATACACCTCTGTGTACGTTCGATTTTTGCAATAGTCAATACTACAAAGATTTGTCATCTAAAATAAACAACATATTTTTAAATGCCTTAGGGCCTTTTATTTATCTTTTTTTATACTTCGATTGAATGTACAGATGCCTGCTTCAATATAATGGAGGGCCAGTTTCCACTCCATTTCTCGTGGATTGTTGAAGACGAGTTATGTGCCCTTGCCTTCCCTCATCTGAAGGACAACCTGAGATATCTGGTGTGTAACAATGTAGGATATTTAGTCTCGCTGACTGCGGAAAGAAGTCCGGATATCCAAGGCTTTGAAGACGGTAGGTACAACGATTTACTAATCACCTATAAAGGTTGCCATATTGCTCTACTTTGGGTTTGGCTATCCCACAATTTCGTTATTGGCTACTATCAAGACATGGGCTCTACATGACACTATCTGATTGGTCAAAACTAGCGTCATTAGAACAGGGATATGGAAGAAAACTTTCTAGATTACAATGGAGACGAAATATCAGCTAACAAAATAAAAATGAAATAGTAATCTACTTAGATTGGATTGCAAAACTCTAGGTTTTATTGGATGGTCCAGTGTTATACTATTGTCAGTTTTGTGTTTTATATTTACAAAGGGGTCAGTAATTTTTCCAGATTTGGAATTGGTAACGATCGGAATCAAAGACTTTACGGCACCAAGCCTGGAACAAGTCAAGATATTTCTACAGATAATGGAACAGGGTAAACAAAATCGAAAGGTATGATGGCGTCACATCCGTTTATAAATGCGCATTACAAACATATCATCTAACCTTCAAACAAAATATCAAAATCGTAAACTATAAGTCAATGTCCTAATCACACATCGAATACCGTCATGTATCTGTCCGAATTGCAATCTTTAGTAAAATAAAATCCAGTCGGTAGACATGAAATAAGTCTAACAGACATTTTGAATCTTTCAAGATAGAAACGTCTGCTTATTTAGGTCTATGCACAGCACCAATCTATAAATTTAAAATTATTGTTACTTTCAGGCAGTTGCTATCCATTGTGCTCACGGTAAAGGCAGGACAGGTACAATAGCCGCCTGCTACCTTGTGAAAACGTATGGTTTGACGTCACAGCAAGCGCTAGATAAAGTTCGACAACTCCGACCTGGTTCAGTAGAAACCGTTACTCAGGAACAATTGGTAGCTGAATTTGAAACCTGGTATAAAGACAAATTATTATGATTTTTCCTTTCTTCTCTTGAAATAAAGAAAATACGGAAAATATGTTGATGGAATTTTGAAGAGTAGTTTTAAGACTTTTCTGTCAGTTTTGACATGAGTATAGCCTAATTAGTCTACTTTCATTCCATTCACCCCTTGTAGATACCGTCACCTCCATTTTCCCGCCATATTTCACTTCCAGACTTCCAGACACCACCGCGTTATTTCCAACTATGATATAAATATTTTCACTACAATCTTCACCTCAAGTTGAGCTCACAATATAAACGTTTGTGGTCTGAAACCGTTTTGTTTGTTGTGATTTTGTAGTTATTTCCCTTGTGATACTCCTTGATTTAAAGATAAGAAAAATTTTTGATTGAAAACTGTGAGTTATATTTTATTATAATTGTGGTTTATAAGGGGGGAACCTACAAAATTTAAACCGATGACGCCCTTCAATTTATTTCATTAGTCCAATAAGAACAGAACAGTAGGATATAAAACTATATTTCATTTCATTAGTTCAATAAGATACAGAACAGTAGGATATAAAACTCCATTTCATTTCATTAGTAAATAAGATACGGAACAGTAGGATATAAAACTACTTTTCATTTCATTAGTCCAATAAGATACTTAACAGTAGGATATAATACTCCATTTCATTTCATTAGTCCAATAAGATACAGAACAGTAGGATATAAAACTCTATTTCATTTCATTAGTCCAATAAGATACAGAACAGTAGGATATAAAACTCTATTTCATTAGTCCAATAAGTTACAGAACTCTATTTCATTTTATTAGTACAATAAGATACAGAACAGTAAGATATAATACTCCATTTCATTTCATTAGTCCAATAATATACAAAACAGTAGGATATAAAACTCTATTTCATTTCATTAGTCCAATAAGATACAGAACAGTAGGATATAAAACTATATTTCATTTCATTAGTCCAATAAGATACAGAACAGTAGGATATAAAGCTATATTTCATTCCATTAGTTCAATAAGATACAGAACAGTAGGATATAAAACTCTATTTCATTTCATTAGTTCAATAAGATACAGAACAGTAGGATATAAAACTATATTTCATTCCATTAGTCCAATAAGATACAGAACAGTAGGATATAAAACTATATTTCATTCCATTAGTTNC